GGTGTCACCTACATATTATACATTGTTCGTTTTGTGCTTTTTATTCTGATTCTAGCTGATTTCTCCCAATCCTGCCATTCTTATAATATATTAAATGTGCTAAATAGAGACTGAAACAATGAGAACTTTTGTTTCATACCCTTTTTCTATTCTGAATCATTCTATTCATCCAGATTTAGTTCTTAACGATAGATTCCTGTTCACTGTAATAATTTGTCAGAAGAATTATCAGATGTTCTGGTTTATGTGTTAACTTTAATATGTTTCCAATTCTGCCATGACCTGCACAGTCAAAGAGTTTGCTGTTGACAATGACTAAAAGTAATCCATATTGTATTTTCTCCATTATCCATCTTCTGTTAGGTACAGAGCCTTTCTACCTTTCCAGACTCAACTGTTTATTTGTAATTTCTCCTTCCCATGTGGCTCTATTTTTTATTTGCAAGTTCTTAATGAAAATTTTGCCTATATGAGGAGAAAATGCAATCTACATTATGTTCCTGCAATGGCCAGTTAGATGAGTGTTGAAGCTTTGGATTCTTTGTGCTACCTGATAGCTTTATTATTATTACAATTAATGATCCACATAAAAACATAACAGTAAGGGACACAATGCATCAGCTGGTACATTAATGCTAATTTTGGAATTAGAAAGAAGGCATTTATATAATAAAGATCTGTCTGCCTGGATACTGTCCCAAAAGAGGCAAGAAGAGAGAATTCCATATGTCTTTTTAGAAATGACAGCACAGCATCATGTGGACAATAGTTTCAATCTCTTCCAACAGCAAACTCTTCTGGCTAATAGTCTTATGCCATGTCCCAAAGAAATTCTTCCTCAATTTTTGCCAAGTAAAGAACATCATCTTTCTACAGCAAGACATACCAGCTCATTCCTTGAAACCTACGGCTCTGAACCCGGAAACCCTCTGGTGCCTTGAAGATTTGTATCAGGAAATAACTATTTTAGTTCTGGGTTTGGCCTTGCTGGGCTGACATAATTCTATTAGGATGCTATCCAGAGGCAGCAGCATCAACGGAAGAGAATAAGGCTGACTATAACTGAGATAAGATGCTTTGTTTTTCAGGAAACTGTTCTATATATATTGCTGCTGGTGAATTGCTTATTGTGATTGTTATTATTTTGGGAGGAATGTAAACAGAGGCAGGTTCCAAAGAACTGACATTGTAGTTTCTATATACACAATACCTGTAGTGTCATATTTATGAAAGAGATGCTTTAAAATTTGAAGGCGACAAGAGTTTCCTTCTTCTGTGCTCAGCTCTTCTTTTCAGCTGAAGGTCCCCTCTGCCCATCATGTAGTGGGAGATTCCTTCAGGCAACTCCTATTTATAGGCTTCTAAGGGAGATGCCTGGAATTCTTGGGATTTAATAAGCAAAAACAGTCCTATTCACAGAGCCAACATTTTAACCACTCAGACGACAATGAACTTTTGTATAAGGAGTGTGGGTGGGGCTATGTTATTCTATGTGGCATGATCATTTGATATCAGCCTTGCTCAATTTATTATTTCTGGATATAATGTCAGCCAAATTTCACCAATTGGAGGAAAGTCCATTGTTAGATCAATGGGCAAATAGGACTAGGTAAATAACTCTAAGCTGAGGCAGAAGAAAGGTAAATATATTTTTAAAATAAGCATATTTATCTATGCTACATGAGTTATATAATACAAGTAGTCCTTGACTTACAACAGTTCATTTAGGGACCATTCAAAGTTACAACAGCACTAAAAAAAGTGACATGTGACCATTTTTTACACTTACGACCATTGCAGCATCCCCATAGTGATGTAATCAAAATTTAGACACTTGGCAACTGGTTCATATTTATGATAGTTGTAGTGTCTCATGGTCATATGATCAACTTTTGTGCCTTTCTGACAAGCAACTCAGTGGGGAAGCCAGATCACTTAACAAGTGTGTTACCAACCTAACAAATGCAGAGAAGAAATGTCATAAATGGGGCAAAATTCACTTAACAACTGTCTAACTTAACAACATAAATGTTGGGCTCAATTGTGGTCATAAGTCGAGAACTGCTTGTATTAAAAATACACTTTTCTCAAGACGATTGAGTCCTGCTTGGATTCGGAGAGCCATTCCTGTGAATAAGGTGATGCCGGAGGCTCACAGCTTATATTAATTTTTTCAGGTTAATTTGTATTAAATAAGTTGTCTGCAAAGTTCAAACAAGAAAGTAAAGTAAAAGAAAAGTGATAAGTAGAAACAAATGAAACAAACAAGATAGAAAGATTTAAAGGAGTGACTTCCAATCTTCTTTATAACAGTTATAAATACATTTATATTTAATCCCCCCCTCTCTCTCAGGTTACATTATGGCTCCCTTCCTTGCGTATTGTGCCTTTTCTAATCATCAACCCCACAAATCACAAATCCATTTTTTTCCTTTTTCAGCAAAAAGTTCATAAAGTCAAATTTCACTTAATTTGTTTTTATTTATCATTTTTAAAAAAATGAAGTCAGGTGTGGCACTGAAACTGATGTCTGCAGGTGAGTCAGTACCCTGGCTCCTTGGCTTAGGCAATTAAAAATGTTATTTTTTGAATATAAGTTAAGAAACTGGGAAAATATCAGTCCTGATGTCCACCAGCCTGCTTAGAAAGGGCATTCCACATACATAGATGAGATCACAATTGAGAAGACAGCCAGCATCCATATAAGATCTCAAGATGAGTTAGATAAGATCTCAAGTCTCAATTTGAGCAGGCTTAAGTGAAACAAGTTACAAAAAAGTGAAAAGTCAGTATTTTAAATATATTAATGGAATGTTTCTGTTCTCTTTGATGGAACATGACTAAAGATATATTTAAAAGTTACGGATCAAAATGCACCCATTATCATTGTTCATTATTGAAATGTATACAACCTATGAAAGTATTAATTTGAATTAGCATCTGGCAGAAGAGACATGAGTCAACCATCCTTATCAGAACACTTCCTTGAGTTCCCACACTTCTACATTGTTATGGCTAGCTAAACCCCCAGGCATTTACCCCATCCCCCCTTCTACATCTGAACTCTAAAAGAATAGAAAAGGCACGTTAGAAGCAAAAGTAAAAATGGTTGCTGGTTCTCAATTGTCAGAGCGAGGACATCCATTCTCACAGCATTGACACATCCTGTTACTGTCGCTGTGCTTATATTTTCCCTTCTACTTGAAGTTTGTGCTCTGCAGTGGTTCATTTGCACATGCAAGGTGTTCCAGTGGCACTGTAGTTTTCAATCTATTGGTGTATATGTGAAGTGACCCCTTGTTTTATTTTCATTTGTTTGGAATCACAAGAGTAATCCCTGGAAAGATAACCCATGATCAAACCAATTTATGGAATTTTAGAACTCCCTAGTCTGGTAGCAAGTCAGAAAAAATATTTGCAGACCCAACAGGAGAATCAGCACTTCAAAACCTTTGAACTTGAATGGAGGCTAATGTCCACAATGACACAGAGGATTAAATAGGGAAAATATTTATTATACAATATTTGCTGCTGCTTCTTTCCTTCCTTCATCTCTTGCTAACTGTGTTTTGGAGATACACTCAGACATTGCATTTTGATCTCACAAAGAAAGCTTTTCCTCTTTCCAACTTTTTCTTCCAAACGCTTGATGGAAATGGGTCCCTATTCTTTTTCTGACTACTAGATGCCAAGCTCTGTCTGTCTGTCTGTCTTGTCTTACACATTTATATTGCTGCCCAACTCAAACATGATGACTCCAGAGTGGCTTACAAAATTAAAACCTGCAAAATAAAACCCATAACACACATATGTTTAATTCCTACACTGCACATAGCTAACATAGCAGAGAAGGGTCATGTGTTCTGGGCCTTAAAACATAGTGTCTGAACATTCATAGTAAAGTAGGTTAGTTTTTAAAGACCCACTGACCTTTTAAAAAATTTCAAGAAGCTAATAAGGTTATTGTAGTGGAGTGTAGAAGTTGGTGGTCCTGTCACAATGTCCAGGTTCTTCTTAGAGCAGTGGTTCTCAACCTTTTTAATGCTGCGACCCCCAACTGGTCGTAAGTCGAGGACTACTCAACCGGTCGTAAGTCGAGGACTACTCAGCTGGTGCAGCACCGTTTGCAGAATGGGACTTTGGGCGGGCTCAGCAGGGCAGAGACAGCCTGGACAATTCCTATTGGCTTTTGAAAGCCAATAGAATTAGACTCTATTCAAGAGAGTCTATTCTATTGGCTTTCAAAAGCCAATAGAATAAAAGGGAGTAGCACATCTAAGGAAAAGGGGAAAAAAATGGCGGACTGCATTTGGCGACCCCTGTGAAATGGTTGTTCAACCCCAAATGGGGTCCCAACCCACAGGTTGAGAACCACTGTCTTAGAGTTAAACAGGTTGAAAGAGTCTTCAGTGAGTCTGTTGTAACATCTTGAGAGTTCCATGGTAGGTATTGTCAGAACTTTGAATTAGTCCAGATCAGGAAACAAACTCCAAAAGAAAATTCTGTTAATATAAACTGTCATAATAAGAATAACAGAATCTTGCAAGTCTAATTGTGTTTTCCTTTCTCTCCCTTTTACATCCCATCCCCTTGAATCAGGGAGGAGCCAGCATGATTCTTTTCCTATTTTTTTTTCTAGAATGCAGGGCATATTTTTTCACTAATTGCTTTTGTAACAGCTTCTCAATATTTTCTTAAGGTCATCTCCATGGGCCCCTATAGCCATTGAGCAGGTGGGGAGATGGATACTTTTGTCTTTAGCAACTTTTTTCTGAATGTTTGTGAATTGCTTAGACTAATTACTAATTGCTTAGACTAAGTCCCGTAAGTAATATAAATCCTGTAAGTAAGTAAGTAAGTAAATAAGTAAGTAAGTGAAATAAGTAAGTAAATAAATAAATAAGCAAGCAAGCATGTTTATTCCAGTCTGGATAGACTGCTTGATTTCTTTTTATTTGAAAATAAAAACACAATCACAGTGTAAAAATATGTCTAGTTCAGCTACCAAGCTATATGGACTATGTCTAGAAACTTCTCATGGACCTTATGCTTGTAGCCTAACACAACAAGGACAGATCTGCACATTCAATTTGGTCTTTTGCCACTGTAGGCCACGCACACTCCCCAAATGCAAAAAATAAATGTCCTCCTCTTTCTACTCCTAGGATGACTTTCAGCTTTGATTCAAAATGCCAGTTTTCCTACTTGAACAGTCAGCCGTGTCCAGGGCCACTTCCTTCCCCCATTCCCCTTTAATTTTTAATTTTCAAGGTTTGTTTCTGTGAGGCTAAACTATTAGATTTTCCTTGTTGCAACATTTTTCTAAACCTTCAGAGGAACATAAGAATTAAAGAATAAGCTATTTCCTTGTTATTTAGATTATTATGACATCAGAATAAAAAATGGTACCATAGGGAGAAAAGAAGCAAGAAAGATCTGTGCTAGTGTGATAGGAATATGGTGTGACAATGTGAAGACATCCATGTATATAATGATTTGGGAAAGTAAAAGAAAAGCATAAAAACTACTGTTGTGAGAAACAGTCCGTAAAAGGAAATTGAGGACATTGGTTCATCTGTCTACCCAGGGGTAGCCATCAGTGTTTGTCTTCTCTGCATGGATGTGAATGACAAGAAGCAAGGGAATAACTATGGACGTCCTGGGTGGTGATAGTTTGGACTGAGCACCCATCTGGCCCTGTTGCCCAAACCAGGCTTGGGATTTCTGACATTGGCTTATAAAACAGCTGGGAGTAGCAGGGGTGACCAGCAGCTTAGACTGCAGAGTGAAATTGCCCGAATTGAACATTGAAACAAACAAACATAGTAGCAAAATGTCCTTATTTGAATTAATGACAGTGTTACCAGGAGCCACACGAATTCTTTTTGTAACATATTTTTCTTTGACAAAGATTTCTGCATTTTCTGATATATTTTGTTCAAGCCTAATAAAAGCAGACACTGTCTAGGCTCTGAAAATAAATAGGGCTGCTCCTAAATAGTATTTGGATAGGAAATCACCAATGAATTGTCTGTGGGCCAGACAAAGAAATTTTAAAAAATATCCCCCCAAAAGATAATAGAGAATCACTTTTGTCCTGGGTGGATATGCCCAGATAGGCACAAGAACTGAGTGCATTTTTAAAGTGTCTTTGTTTTTGGTATACACAACTATAGATAGCTAGGTGCAATTATTTTGTGGTCTTGCATGGAACAACTGAATTACTATCTATGGATCATCTCTAACAATATATAAAGTTTTATATAAAGTGTAAATTTTGTCAATGCCTATTTTGAAATAAATCTTGAATGGTAAGAAGTAATCCAAGCATTAGGCTTACACTTCTATTCATTTACATTTGGATATCTAGTCAATATCCTTTAACTTTCAACCACATGCTCTTAGAATTTAGAGAAGACTATTTTGCTTGTTTTAATTTTCTATTTATAATTTTATCGCTGATTAAAACCCCAGAGCTTAGTGAATTATAAATTTGTAGAAATTGATTACGTAGAATTTTCTGGAAAGGTTACACTGAAACAACGCATCCATGAATTCAAATGTCCTTGAATGACCATAGCATAAGTGTTGCTAGATTTCATAACAAGCCCCCAAGGATTTAAGGAAGTTGGTCCAAACCACTTGGAGAACACTAGGCTGGAGAAAACGGCCTCTCAGATGAATAAAAGCACTCAGGTACATTGTTTCCCATAGCTTCCAAGGAACGGAGCAATGTTTGTTTTAATGGGCTGAGTGTTGTTCTTTTCTGCCTCTCCAACACCCATTCTTTTGAAAATTCGGATAACAGTTGTAAGAAACTAAAATACATTTTGAGAAGGATTTAATGGGGAATATTTTTTAAGGAACCCTAAATTGTCAGGTCTTATGAGAAAGATACCAACTAACTTGATGTTCAATTGACTTGGATTCATCAAATTCTCTACCATTATAAAAGAGATTTAGAGCATGTGCTTTGTATATAGACTAGGCATATAAAGCATTTTTACTCTATCTACATTCAGGGAGAGACAAACATCAGCACAAATGAAATCTGACTAGCATTTATCCTTTTCCCAGGCTGCGGGGCTCTTTGCCAGGGGGCTGTGGAAATGGCTGGCTGGTTCACATTCTCATTTGCCCTGTTTGCGCATGCATATGGGCTTGAACGAGGACGCTAGCGCAGGGCGGGAGGTGCACTGCCATTTGTGCATGCGCACGGCGCCAGTGCATGCCACATACACAAATGGGGCCGTTAGGGTTGTGCCAGCCTGCATGCGCGCACTCCAATTTTGAAGCTGCTCTCCTTCCCTCTGGTCTACGAGCCCAGAAAGGTTGGAGACCTAGCCTAGACCCTTGGTTTCTTCCCTATTATTTTCACAATTAAAATCCCTCATAAGCTTGTTCACAGTAGTGTGAGGCTTTTTCCCTTTTACAGCACTTCTACATATGAATATGTAGAACCACAACCTAGGAAATGTTACAAAAAGAAATATCTGTATAAAAACAGCCCTGTATTGTCAGTGGTTTGTTTTTCTTATGAAAAGGCCTGATTCACCTTGTACATTTTCAAAAGTAAGCACATCTTTATCCCATAATGGATTAGTAAATTTCTGTCCAGATAATCTAATAAATTAATATTCCTGAGAAAATTTAATAAGAGGTGAGGTCAGTGGTGGGATTCAGATATGTGAATAACCGGTTCTCTGTGTGAATGCTGTTTCTGGAAGTTCATTCTGAGCCTGGGCAACAAAAAATTAGCTACCAGTTCTACCGAACTGGTACGAACTGGCTGAATCCCACCACTGGGTGAGGTCCTGGTGGGAACTAATATAGGAAACAACTAGAAATGAAGATATCAATTCTCCTAACAATTTTAATGACATTTTTAATTGATAATTGGGGGGGTTGTAGTTGTAGTCATAGTCTGAGTTGGGTGGACACGTAAATGTCTTAATGATCCCAGGGCTGCCTATGATTGGGAAGTGGGGAAAAAAAGCATCCTATTGCAGAAGGCATGTCTGTTTATATCAGATGCCAGAAATAGGAATACTCGCAATATTTTGAACTCCAATAGTCATCCGTCCCATTCATCATAACCAGTAGTAAAAGCCTAAGGGAATTGTTCTCCAAAACGCCAGGCATTTCTTGCATGTGATTACTGTAATTGAAATGTAGTTTGCAACATTACAACACAATGGACAATAAACTTGTGTTGTAGTCGCTACTCTTCCTTTCCTGCAACTGACCTCTACGCTACAGACGCAGATCTAGGCAGAGACCGAGGGGGTCGACTCAAGTTTCCACACACGGCCCACTTCGTCCTGCTGCATGTGCCGGAATCTCTTTGAGGCTGACCGTTACAGCTCCTCTCCGGACCAAGCGGAAACAGGCAAGCGCAGCGGTGCGCGAATTTGGTTTTCAACTCCTCTTAATCTTTAATGGGCCATTGACTCGTCCAAACTGGCCACTCCTGCGACCGCTTTTGAAAACGGCGATTTTGTTGAGTCCCGCGGAACAGTCGCTTGGTTACTGGAAAGAAACCCATCAAGGACAGGCGGGGAAGATTCCCTCCGACTCCATTAGGCTAAGAAGTTCATTGAGTGGGCGGAAACTTCCAGTGGGAAGTAAGCACAAAGCCTACGGGAATTAATCTGACGGATGAAGCGGATGCGGAAGCCAGGCGCCGCCCAAGACGGCTAGGTTTGCCTTCCCTGGGCGGCCTGGCGATAGCGAGCGGAGGCATGTTGCTGCGTTGGGGCCTGGCCGCTAGGAGAGCTTCCCGGTTGGCGTGCCGCAGGTGCAGCTTTTTGCTAATCGGAAATACCCTCTTTCCCCAGTCTCTAACCACCCGCCTTCCTCTCTTCTTTTAACCCTCCTGCAAGCCAACATCTTCTTCCAGCTTGGCCATTGGGAAATCGAGTTTTGCTTTTTCTTTCCCAACTGTCTCTTTCTATTATCTCCACTTTTGTTCCTCGGCTAGTTTTATTGGATTAAATGAGATTGACTGATTGGAGCTTTGCCTGTCCGTTTCAGAAGCAAACATTGAATTTCGTGAGATCAACTCATAGAGGGCTGAACCTTAATATGAATCCCGCGTACCAAAAACATTAGCGGGGTCTGCGGTTTATTCAGTAGCACTGAATGAACTGACACTTTTAGTCATTTCAAAAATTCAGTGTTTTCTATTCTATAAATCCAGCGTCCCCATTCACGGCCCTCCCCTGAGATTTTTTGTAATGAAAAAATATAGGGATGCAATAGAGGAATTGAATAAAAATGCAGAAGTTACTATTAAAGGTGTGTCATACTTCTCCCCCCTGCAAGCCAGATACTGAATTTCATAATAGTAGCAAGTGGTATTGATGCTCTGTCTCACTTTGTATCTGCTGCTTGGGTGGCCCCTTTACCAAATTTGTGGCTTCCCACTACATGAGAACTCAATGGCCCTTTCATAATCCATATGTCCCCACCTAATCTTAGCATATTCAAGTTCATGGGAGCTCCTGGGGTCCCAGCATTTCCTCAGCCTGCTTTCTGTCATTCTAACTCTTCTCAAGCTTTTGTACTTTTTCTATATTTTTCCAACATGCTTTTGTTTCTTTTTGCCTTGGCCCTCTCTGCTTGCAACTCTTCTGGATTCTGTTGCTTCCCTATTTCTTTTTCAGTGCAACATTTCTCTACTTCCTCTTAAATCATTTGCTACAGGATCAGCAGAAGACAGTGCAACTTGTGCACATTTTGGTATCTGGATTGTGTATCTGTACTCAATTCCTATTAAGAACCTGGTCAGTAACAACTGAGTGCGGTTGCACACATACAAATACTTAAGAAATTAGGTCCACACAGCCTGTCCAGACTGCAGTGAGTGTCCCTTCTCTTCATTATTTAGTTCACTAGATTTAGTATAAAGCTGTCAGGTGCTGACTTGGCCCATCTCTTGGCAGCCTACTCAAATAGAATAAAATAGAAATAGACCTTGGAGGTCTTCTAGTCCAGTCCCCTGCTCAAGTAGGAGGACCTATACCATCTCAGACAGGTTATTGTCCACTCTCTTTTTAAAAACTTTCAGCGATGGAGCACCCATGATTTCTGGGGATAAGCTGTTCCACTGGTTGATTGTCAGGAAGTTTCTCCTTAATTCCAGGTTGCTTCCTCTCCTTGATCAGCTTCCAACCATTGTTTCTTGTCCTTCCCTCTGGTGCTCTGGTGAATAACCTGACCCCTCTTCTTTGTGGCAGCCCCTCAGATACTGGAATACTGCTATATTGTCTCCCCTATTTCTTCTTTTCTTTAGACTGGCCAAACCCAAGTTCCTCAGCCGTTCTTCGTACATTTTGGTCTCCAGGCCTTTGATCATCTTAGTTGCTCTTCTCTGAATTTTTTCCAGACTCTCAACATCTTTTTTGTGATATGGTGACCAAAATTGGCAGTATTCAAGATGTGGTCTTACTAGGGCTTTATAAAGTGGTACTAGTACTTCGCATGATCTTGATTCTATGCCTCTGTTTATACAACCCAGGATTGCATTAGCTTTTTTAGTTGCTGCTGCACACTTCTGGCTCATAGTTAAGTGATCGTCCACCAGGACTCCAAGGTCCTTCTCACAATTACTGCCTCCAAGCTAGGTCTTGCCCAATCTGTATTTGCTTCTTTGGTTTTTCCTGCCTGAGTGTAAGACTTTGCTTTTCTCCACATTGAAACTCATTTTGTTGGATAGGGCCCATTATTCAAGTTTGTCAAGATCTTTCTGGATCCTGTTTGTCTTCTGAGGTTTTGACTACTACTGACAGTTTGGTGTCATCTGCTAATTTGATGAGTTCCCCTTCAATTCCCTCGTCTAAGTCATTTATGAAGATGTTGAAGAATACTGGGCCTAAGACGGAACCTTGTGATACCCCACTGCTTACTTCTCTCCATGTGGATGTAGTGCCATTGAGGACTACTCGTTGAGTGTGGTTTAGGAGCCAGCTACAGATCCATCTGGTGGTGATGTTGTCTATTCCACCTTTTTCTAGTTTATCAAGGAGTAGGTTGTAGTCTACTTTATCAAATGCCTTACTGAAATCTAGGTATACTACATCCACTGTGTTTCGCTGGACTACTAGTTTAGTCACTTTATTGAAGAATGAGATCAGATTGGTCTGGCATGATCTGTTTTTAACAAACCCGTGCTAGTTATGACTTTGTTTGCTACTAGTTGTTTGCAGATCTGTTTTTTGATAATCTTTTCTAGGATCTTCCCAGGTATTGATATTAAACTGATTGGTCTGTAGTTTCCTGGGTCGTTTTTTCCCCCCTTTCTTAAAGATGGGGACCACATCAGCCCTTTTCCAATCCTTGGGTACTTCCCCGATACTCCAGGATTTGTGGAAGATGTGGTATAACGGTTCTGAGATAACATCTGCCTGGTGATTTGTATTCGTCAAGATTGGATAGGTGTTCTCTTATCATGTTCTTGCTTATTTTGATTTTTGTTTCTAGTATGTCTTGCAGTGGTTTGTTTTTTTTGGGTGTGTTAGGCTATGGTTTATTTTTGTTTGACGATTGATGCAAAGTATGAGTTAAGAAACTCATCTTCTCGCTTTAATGGGCCTACAGTTTCCTTGACTTTTTTTGTTGTTGTTAATGTGTTGGAAGGAACCTTTTTATTGTCCTTGATTTCTGTTGCAAGTCTTCGTTCATTCTGAGCCTTTGCTTTCCTGACTTCTTTGCATGTTCTGGCTGTCTGCTGATAATCGGCCTTGGTTATGTGCCTCTCTTTCCATTTTTTCTATTTGTCCTTTTTGTCTTTTAATTTGTTAGTGAAATCTTTGTGCAGCCATGCTGGTTTCTTCCTGGATTTTTTGTTTTTCTTTCTCAGTGGTATTGTGCTGATGTGGGCTTTTGTGATCCTGCTTTTCAGGGTTTCCCATGCTTCTTGGGTTATTTTCCCCTTTAGAATTTTGATCCATAGGATCTTTCCTAGGTTCTTTCTGAGCTTGTCAAAGTCGGCTCTTTTGAAGTTTAGGACATTGGTTGGATTGCTTTCTATATTAAATTCCAGTATGACGTGGTCACTAAATTCCGGCAATTTAGATTCCCTCTATCACTTCTTCTCTATTTGTAAGGATTAAGTCCAGTATAACTTTGCGTCTAGTTCCCTCCTCACCTTTTGGGTGACAAAGTTGTCGGCTAGGTTGGTTAGGAATCTCCCGCTAACTGCAGAGTTAGTTTCCCAGTTGATATCTGGATAGTTGAAGTCTCCCATTAATACTGTGGTATGTTTCCTGCATACATTTGTTAACTGGTTGGCAAAGAGTTCATCTGTTTCTTCTGGTTGGTTGGGTGGCCTGTAATATATACAGTGGTGGGATTCAGCTGGTTTGCACCACTTCAGCAGAACCAGTAGCTAATTTTTTGTTGCCCAGGCCTAGAATGGACTTCCAGAAGTGGCATCCACACAGAGAACTGGTTGTTCACATATTTGAATCCCACCACTGAATATACACCTATGGTAATATCACTTATTTTCTCTTTTATATTGACCCATATACATTCTGGAGAGATTTTGTCTTGGGTCATGTGCATTTCTGCAGATATGTAGTGTTCTCTTACATATAGTGCAACTCTCCCTCCTCTTTTTGTAGATGTTTCTTTTGAACAATTTGTATCCATCCATCTGTCTATTCCATTCACGGGTTTTGTCCCACCAGGTTTCTGTTATGCCAACTATGTCATACCCCCCCCCTCGTGTACTATTGCTTCTAGTTTGCCCTGTTTGTTCCCCAAGCTTCGAGCATTTGTGTATAAGCATTTAAGGCTTTTATGCCTGTCCGTGGGTATGATTCCTATATTTCCTGATTGTTGTTTCTTTTTTCTCAACACTCATTGTTTGGTTTGTTTTCTTGGGATTTGTGATTGGTTTTGGGTTCTAGAGATTCTAGAGATTGGTCACCGTCCCCTCTCAGTTTTAGTTTAAAGCCCACCTGATGAGTTGGCCCAGTCTTTTTCCAAGTACATTTTTGCCTGTTTTCATGAGGTGTAGTCCACCCCTTGCCAAGAGTCCCTCATGTAGAAACTGCAGTCCGTAATCCAGGAAACCAAAGTTTTCTTTGTGACACCAACCCTTTAGCCAGTGGTTTATTTCTAAAATTCTTTTTTCCCTCAATAGGTGTTGGCCTTTTGTTGGGAGCACTGACGAGAACACTACTTGTGCTCCTAGCTTCTTCACTTTGTTGCCTAGTTGTTTGTAGTTTTTCACTACAGGTTGTTTGTTCCAATGTGGAGGAGGAGGAGGTAGTAATCTGTGGGCCTAATTATTTTGGTTAGGTTCTCAGGGCTCCACATCTTTGATTTTTGCTCCAGGGAGACAGCATACCTCCCTGGATTGTATGTTTCATCTGCAGGTGGATGATTCTGTTCCTTTGAGAATAGAATCTCCTATTACCAACACTCACCTTTTTTGTGGGGGGGCACTGCAGTCTGGGGTGCTTTTCTGGTTGTCTAAGGTGTGTTTGTTGATGTGGCTTTTTAAGGGATATTTGAGGTGACTTTTTTAGGATTATTTGAAGTTGTTTCTTTGCTAGGTGTCTTCATGTCTGAAGGATAGGTTGTGGGTCTGCAAGTTTCCTTCTAAGGGCAGAAGGGGTTTGTTTGTTGCATGTTGTTTCTTTCTTTGAGTGTTATGTTTCCTTCTGTGTGTGACATACCTCCACTTGTCTTCCTCCAAGGGTTTATCGGTAGGGTCAAATCCTCTGGGAGTTATTTGGGTTCATTGTTCTTCTGCAGATTGTAATAAAGAAAACCGCCAGCTAACAAATAGTTTTTGCAATTTCTTAATGGGCACACATTAAGACTGGATGCACAAAATGGAACCTAACTGTTAGGCACATTCATGATAAATAATTATGCTAGCCTGAGACAAATTACTCTATGGGCTTTTTTTTTTAGATGATACACTTAATTTCTGATGAGATGGCTATTTTGTTCTTATAAGTCATGCCTGTCCCTGTCTTCCATTGGACTTCCATCTTGCAAAATCATACATGCTAGAACGGGTCCCCAACCTGTGGGCTGCAGCCTGGTACTGGTCCATGGCCTCTTGGCCACTGGGTCATGGGAATGGCTGGTGAGTGCGCACATGTGTGCATGCACCCTCTCCATTCACACTAGTGCCACTGCGCAGGTGCTAGCGGCCCCATTTGTGCATGTGCAGGATGCTAGCGCCACCACCAGTGTCATGTGGGCACTAGCGGCCCATTTGCTTATGCACATGGGCGCCAGAACTACCATCAGCGTTGCTGTGGGTGCATGCGGTCTGCTTGCGCATGGGCATGGGCACTCGTGTTGCTGCCATACACATGCTTGTTTTGCGCATGGGCATGGGTGTGTGATACATTTCCCTGTGCCTCCATTTCCCTCCGAGCTACCAACCTGGAAAGGTTGGGGAGCTCTGTGGTAGAAGACATGTGTATATCTGAAAGGGAATGTTGCCATTAACTGTGTTCTCTTTGCCTGAATGTTTGTGTGGACAGTTCAGACTTCTATGCCTTTGGAGAAACTGGAGGATTTTGTGTTATGTTTGTGTATGTGGCATTACCTAATGCCTTAAAACTAGTTAAGTTGATCTCAGGCTGTGCATAGGAGCCAAATTCAGCCACACTTCTAAATGGATATATTTGCTAAAGAGACAAATTCAAAAATAGAAAAACAAACTCAGAAATGATACATTGCTTTTTAAAATTAGATGAAACATTTATTATTTAGCACTTAACAAGATAAAAAACAATTTATTTTCTGCAATCTTATTTTATGGAGGTTGGGAGACTTCCAGACTGAGAAATTTGAATTCCCATTAAGAGATTTTTATAATCTGATTATTTATCTTTCAAGACATCTAAAACAGGAAGTCTTTGTGTATTTCACAGATGAACAAAGTTACAATATTTTATGGGCTGCAGTCTATTTTACTGAATAAAAACTGTTCTGGGATGAGGATATTGTTTGCAGTAGGTGAGTTTTAAATAACAAAACTGGAGAAAAATTGAATTCACAAAGTAAAGAAAATAGTGATGGTTGCTGCTAGCATTACCATACTGAGTTAGGAAACCTAAGGGAGATTGGGAAAGCAAAGCTTTAGCTGAAATAAATTATCATTTAGCAAGCTCCAACTAGGTGTAAATACTTATTCATTCTATATTGAATGGAATGAATAAGTATTCTAAGTATTCTGAGTCAAAGGCACCCAGGAGAGACTGAGATAGAACACCACTGTGGTATCTTTAGTTTGATCACCATATGCATTCTACTGCATTGTTGTCTTTGTGCACATTCAGGGAAAACAAAGGGTAAAGGCTTTCGACATGTCCATATGCTTTTGTTTCACAGTAGGAATGCTGCAAATAAATGAAAGTATTCATTGAAAAGAAACTGTGATGGGCAGTGACCTGGAAAATCAATTTTATGTGGAAAGATTGAAATTGGTAGATACAATACATTTAGTCTGGAGAACCTGGATACTGAGCAGTGGGGAGATTTTTGGGAGGGTTTGTGCAATGCTTTTAAGACTGCCTTGACAAGTCCCTACAGTTTTCTTGGCAAGGTGTTTTAGAAATACAGGTAGTCCTCAACTTACAACCACAACTGAGCCCAAAATTTCTGTTCTTAGGTGAGACATTTCTTAAGTGAGTTTTATGACATTTCTTGCCCCAATTTATGACTTTTTTTTGCTACTGTTGTTAAGTGACTCGCTGCAGTTGTTAAGTTAGTAACCTGGTTGTTAAATGAATTTGGTTTCCCCGTTGACTTTGCTTGTCAGAAGGTCACAAAGAGTGATCACATAACCCCAGGACCCTGCAACCGTCATAAATATGAACCAGTTGTCAAGCATCTGAATTTTGATCACGTGACCATGAGGATGCTGCAAAAGTCGTAACTGTGAAAAATGGTCATAACTCACTTTTTTCAGTGCTGTTGTAACTTTGAACAGTCACTAAATGAATTGTTGTAAGTCAAGGACTACCTGTAATTTACCATTGCCTTCTTCCTAGGGCTGACAGAGAACGACTAGTCCAGGGGTAGGCAACCTTAGCTCTTTTATGACTCATGGACTTCAACTCCCAGAATTCCTGAGTCAGCATATGCTGACTCAGGAATTCTGGAAGTTGAAGTCCATGAGTCATAAAAGAGCCGAGGTTGCCTACCCCTGGACTAGTCCATGGTCACCCAGCTGGTTTTGTGCCTAAGGCAAGACTAAACCTCATAGTCTTGTAGTTTTTAGTTTGGTGCCTTAACCACTGGTGATAAACAAAACTGATGATAATACTTTGCATATAGCTGTCCTATAGACCAGAGGTCCCCAACTTTTTGGGCATCAGGGTCTGGTTCCATGGAGAGAAGTTTTTCTGCAGACCAGAGGAGGCGTTGTTTCATGTACTGTCTGCATCCTGTAGATGGGGCTTTGCTTGTTTACGCAGCCTGGTTTCTGGCATGCCATGGGCCAGGGCCAGTCCACGGACCAGAGGCTGGGGACCCCTGCTATAGATCGCAACCTTATGTGGTTTTATTTGGGAAGATCCGGAGAGGACCTCAAATCACATTTAGGTGAATATAACAATAATGTTCCCGAGAATGTTATAATTGCACAAGTTTGCAATTATAACAAATGGATCTTATGATCCCTTGCATTTGCAAATGCCAGATTAATGAAAAGACGTTTTATTTAAAAAGAAGGTTAAAGAAAAAATGAGTAAGCTGGGTCTGTGAGAATCCATTGCCTCTGTTTTTACAGGAAGAATATTTTTGGCCTCAAATCATGGAACCCCATTTCTCCAGGCAGCATTGTCTTCTTGCAGCCCCAGAGGACCTTTCGAGCAGTACTGTGCACTGAACTGAAAAAGCCATTGGTTGTTAGGGATGTCCCATCTGCTTTGCTTCAGTCACACGAGGTAAGCAAGCAAGTAACAATACTTGGGTCGAAAGTTCTCCTACATGATCAGTCAAGATGGTTTTGTTTGTAGGATTTAGATTACCATGAATGTTTGTTTCAAACAATTTGGGCTTAGTGTGGTCTTCGGCCTTTTCGATGTAGGCCATTGGAAACATTCCATTCAGATCTCTGATAAGGCTTCTTTTTCTTTTTATTGTCAGACTTTGAGAGGAATCTAAACTGGACTCTTTGAATACAGTTCAAAACTGCGGGATGCAATTGGATTACACCTATTTTCCAGTTAAGACTAACTTGCTGCAGATGTTGCATGAATATAGCTATACCCTTTTCTTCCCTTCCTTTTTCCCCCTTGGATTTTTATCATCTTGTCTCATGGCCCATTTCCTAGATATAAGCTCTCATCTGGCCTTAGTAAATAATGTGATTTGTCTTTCTTAAAGGGCTTCTGGAAAGGAAGTCAAACAAAATGGTTGAAAGAAAATTGTACTATCACTACAGTTTTATAAATAATTTACTAATCTGTGCAAATAGTTTCTAGCTTACTGATTCATTTACAGGTAGTCTTTGGTTCACAATCACTCGTTCAGCAACTGTTACGGTGGCATTGAACAAGGAGACTCATGGCCAGTCTTATTCCCTATTGTTAATGAAAACCAGTGACTTTGATGGAATAGAACATTTGTAGTTCAGGATTGAAATCTTAGGTTCTTGGTACGTTCTGACAACTCAGACAAACAAGCTACCGTATATGCCGGCGTATTAGGCGACCCGGCATATAAGACGACCCCCGTCTTTATAGCCGGGCCGCATTCCTAGAATGTCGTCTTATACGCCGGAAACTACCAGTATTTCCGGCGTATAAGACGACCCCCGTCTTTGGCACCGATTTCAGCGCTTGCGGAAGTCGTCTTATACGCCGGCATTTATGGTAATAATAAACAACAGCAACACAGACATGGCAAGCCACTAGTTTATAAAATGAGAGTAAACCCAACTCCCTTATAGCACTGATGATGTTACTTAGTTGGATAATGAAACATCTGCAAGAAAAGAACCAAGCTCAGAGAGCACCAAGGATTCCATAACAATGACTTTAATTGATCTCTGTGTGTAAATAACAATAAATATTGTTTGCTTTATCATTACTTGATAACCAGAAGCCATATCATGTATATGCTATATCTGCTTGCTATGTATAGTAGAAAAGTGATCCTGTAACTGGAAAGCATGAAATATAGGTTGAGGGAGAGAGAGAGAGAAAGAACATTATTTTCGTAAAGACAAAATAAAATTTCCCTGTTTTGTGAACCATAACTGCTACCACACATTTCCCCATAAATGAGGGAAAACATTTTTAAGCTTTGAAAGACCAGACATTAGTTTTTCCTTGGTGTTTGAAATAACTAGGGGGCATGTGTGTATTTGAAACAAAGATAAACCATCCTCTCCTCTTGTTATTATCTTCCAAAAATGACTTTCTGGCAGCATTTACTGACTATATCTGAAGGTGTGGAATATAATCTGTGAAGGTTTATGCTATTGAGTTATGGTTAGTCTTTAAGGTGATGATTAACATAAATAGTCCTTGGGAAAATAATTGCATTTATAAATTATATTTTACCCATTTTATTTTATCTGTTTGTTAAATTGATCATAGGTGGGGCTTTTAAAGCAAAGAATGTCTTCTTCAATCATATTTTGAGATATTAAGCTAGGGGTTTTTAATATGCAGTGATCCATATGGGAAAAGTGGCTGTGCTTATTCTAAGAGAATGCAAATGAGGATTTTTCACAGAGAGCTGGCATTTTTCAGAGTTGTGGATGTCTTGTTGATTAGGTCATGGAAGCTGTATAATGTTTGCAATGCAGTAATCAAAACTGATATGCTTTGAAAAGGCAGCATGTCATTTACTACTCAGACAGCTCATAAAGACACCATAAAAAGGCTGGCAACATGATTAATAGACAATAAAAAAAATAATGTCCTATTGAAAAGCAGAAATAAAAAATTTGGTGGTAGTTAAATCCTTACTACATTTAATTGGGTTAACATTAAACCGCAAAAAAATTACCCAAGACAGTAGTTTTTCTCGAACTTAGAAGCTTGTTCAGATCTTGGTATATATTATTTTCACTTCTAGAAGCTTCGGGCCTATCTGTAATATTATGCTTAATCCTAATAGTTTTGACCAAATCTTGCAAATGACTGACAAAGCTTACGGATCCATAGAACTTCTTTTTAGGAATCTAGGAACATATGCCTATTTTTATGAATAATTTAAGGTATATTTGTAACCTAAGAAGAAACTGGGTTTATAATATCAGTTTAGTAAAAATTCTTTCTGCTAGACAGAATTGATAGGACAGGTATTTGTTCACCAGATTGCTTTATGCAATATCTCTAGTTTATTCTCTAGAGAAGGGGTCCCCAACCCCTGGCCTATGGACCAGCACCGGGCCGTGGCATGTCAGAAACCGGGCTGTGTAAACAAGCAAAGCCCCATTCATGGGATGCAGGCAGCACACGAAACCATTCCCCCTCCGGTCTGTGGAAAAACCTTTCTCCATGGAACCAGTCCCTGGTGCCCAAAAGGTTGGGGGCTTCTGCTCTAGAGAGCCAGTTTGGAGTAGTGGTTAGAAAACAGGAGACCATGACTTCTAGTCCATCTTAGGCACAAGACCAGTTAGATGACTGTGGGCCAGTCACTCTCTCTTAGCTCCAGGAAGGAGGCAATGGCAATCTACTTCTGAAAAATCTTTCCAAGAAAACCACAGGGACTTGTCCAGTCAGTTGCCTGGAGACAATACTAACTCAAAGACATGCACAACCCCAATTTCCCCACTCCCTTCATTTTCTGGCAATCAGTGTATAGATCTTGTGGAAAGGAAGCAGGATTCAGATGAGGAATCCACTTTTTTTTTCTTGGTCTCTTCTTCCCTTGCACAAAACAGCAGCCAGGAATATTATGAGAATTCTTTTTTTTTTTTATTGAAAATTTGTACAGTTTTACAATAAAATAATCCCCCTCTCCCACCCCCCTTCCCCCCCATCACCCTCCCCCCTCCTTCCCAGAGCTGTAAAAAAGGTTAAATATTTGGAGGTATTTTTATCTGCTTCTAATATAAAATTGTATAAAAATAATTATGAAAAGTTGTGGTTTAAAATACAGAAAGATTTGAATGATTGGAAAAAATTGCAATTATCTTTGTTGGGGAGAATTGCTGCGGTTAAAATGAATGTTTTGCCGAAGTTTCTTTTTTTGTTTCAAATGATACCTATTTTAAAGAAAGAGGTAAATTTAGAAGAATGGCAGAAAGGTATTAATAAATTTATTTGGGCGGGGAAAAACCATGAGTAAAACTTAAAATTATACAAGATGTTCGAGAGAGAGGTGGACTCAAGATACCGAATTTGAAACTGTATTATGATGCGGTGGTTTTAACACTGATTAGTGATTGGATTAATCTAACAAATGTAAATATACTCCTTTTGGAGGGATGGGATTTATTATATGGATGGCATGCCTATTTAATATATAATAAAAAGGTGGATAGGGTTTTTAAGTCTCATATTTTAAGAATTTCTTTATTGCGAGTTTGGAAGAAATATTATAGAACAGATTCTAAAATTCCATTGTGGGCAATTCCAGGGCATGCAATAGAAGGAATAAGAAAAGGAGTGAAGATGGAGAGCATTTCTTTTAAACAATTACTTAATTGGGATGGGAAAAATTGGCAATTAAAATCTATGGATGAATTATTACAAGAAAATATTAATTATTCTTGGTTTCAGTACAGACAATTATTAGAAAGGTGGAGGATAGATCAAAAACTGGGTTTGAACAGGGAGGATGTGAATCTGTTGAAACAAATTAAAGACCAAAGTCGAACTCATATAAAAAGAATTTATGGTGTTTTAATGGAATTGGATTCAGAAACAGAATTAGTTAAAGATTGTATGGTCAAATGGGCTCAAAATTTTGAAGAGCCGATTTTATTAGATACATGGGAGATAATTTGGGTGAGGAATGTTAAATTTACGCAAGCTCAAAATTTACGAGAAAATTTTTATAAAATGTTTTATAGGTGGCACCTTGATCCACAAAAGATGTCTCATATGTATCCAAATCTGCAGCCTAAATGTTGGAGATGTGGTTGTTTGGATGCAACGTGTTATCATATTTGGTGGTCATGTAAAAATATAAAGGCTTTTTGGATTAAGATTTGGTGGAACATTCAAAGAATTTTTAATAGAAGGATAAAATTTACACCACAATTGTTTTTATTAGGCATTATTGTTGATTGTGATGATAAAGAAATTATTTTAATGTTGAATTTAATTATAGCGGCAAAGCTGCTGATAGGGTAATACTGGAAGAAGGAGTTTTTGCCTACTTTAGAGGAATGGTTTCTTAAAGTTTCTTATTTATCTGAAATGGCAAAAATTTCGGCTTATTTGAAAGATCAATCGCAAGAGAAATATTTTTTGGTGTGGAAAAGATGAGATTAAAAAGTATTATTTAGCTTTTGAATAATTTATGTTTAAGGTAATGATTAGAACTATTGTTTTGTTTTGTTTTTATATATTGGAATTAAAGTATTTAAAATTTTGTTTTTTGAATGTATTTATAATTGTTTGATGTTTATTTAAGTTGTAAGGTTTTTTCTAGTTTTTATTAACCCTGTATTCAGCTCTGGGAAGAATATTACGAGAATTCATTAGATTAATCTTGTATGCGTGTATAGAAAATAATTCTTTCATTTGTTGCATTTCCTAAGTTAATCAGATCACTCGCTGTGGCTTGATTCTAAAGAGGAAAAAAAAACAGTACTTAAATGTTTAACCTGTCTCCTTCTCCTCCCTTTCTTACACACATAAAGACGTTTCTGGTTATGTGAGGAATGTGGGATTGTCTCTTTTTGTAGGTCAGAGTTCATGTCTGCAGCTGTGGAGTCAATTTTGCTGATATACTGGCCTGCCAGGGTCTTTATCAACATCACCCTCCTCTCCCATTCATCCCAGGTGAGTGAAAACATTTTCATGGTGTCTATGTTGTGAGAAGGAGCCCTAACATAAGACCAAATCTGCACCCTTTCCTAGATCAGCCTTCTCCAATAGATAAATTTATCCAGTGATAGAAATTGCAGTCTAGCCGCCTGCCAGTGTCATATTGGAGAAAGCTGATATTAATTCCCTTTCTGTTCCTAGATTTCTTAATGAGAAACTTGTTTTTTAAGAAGACTATGCAAATTTCAGACATACATTGTTTATCTGAAATGTAACTACTGGGAAGCAATAGATTAAAAAATTATGCTCAAAAGTGGAATGTTCGACTCTACCCACAATAGAGGAATGATTGGTGAAGATGATGGAGCTTGCAGAGATGGCTAAATTAATTTCCTTGATCAGAGAAAAGACAATACCTACATTTATGGTTGATTGGAAACCCCTTTTAGACTTGTTGCATGAAATGGAAAAAAAAATACACTTATGACTTGTTTTGATGATTGGGGGAAAAATATATAATAGAAAAAAATGAGCTTTTTATGTAATCATAGAGCAGTGGTAGCGAATCTATGGCACATGTGCCAGAGGTGACACTTGGAGCCTTTCTGTGGGCACATGCACCATCGTCCCAACACTGCCTCCTCCCACGGCCCCCTCCTCACCAGCAGCCCCCCAGAGGAGAGTCACCCCCGGGTATGGCCCACGTTAAGCAGCGCAGCCAAGGACATGGTAGCCAGGCAGTGGGGACAAGACTCTGCCCTTGTGCCCCATCGCGCGCAGATGATGCTGCGGGGCACGGGGGGAGGGCATGGCCACCATGGTGCTGCTGGGCTGCCTGGGTGATCTGTGGTGGGCCGTGGAGGTGATGGGTGGCCCAGCGGGCATTGCAGAGCAAGGACGGGATGGAGGGGCGGTTTTTGGGCACTCGGTCTCTAAAAGGTTTGCCATCACTGTCATAGAATAAGAGATAATTTTATAATAATATTTGCTGGTAGAGGAAATCAGAAACTTTTTTTTCTATTTTTTATTTCTTCCTGCATTTAGTTTTTTTCGTGTTTTCTCTATTTTTATTCTTTCTATTTTGCATTAGTTTGTATTTGCTTTTCATTCTCTTGAAAACTTTTAATAAAATTATTTTTAAAAAGGTAAATAAAAAAACAGATTTTTTTAAAAATAAGAGTATTAATATATTGTTCCATTTTAAAAAAAAAAATTATTGTGCTCATGGTGACATCTTCTGGCCAATTCTCAGCAATGATTATGATAACAGTTATTTTAGTATAGGATACACACAGACACACATATATATGTATATATATTGTATGTACAGTATATAGAAAGAGGGGGGGAAGTAATGTAGAATCCATTGGTGGTCAAGAAAAATGGCATAAAACAGTGTGAAAATTTTCAAATTCTCCAGAACCCTTGAGAGGAGATAAAATAAAAAGTAAAAGATGAGAAGAAATATGAAAAGTATCTCCAAATTAGATCAGATAGACCTCTACAGTAAAGTCTGCATTTTGGAGCCTCAAAATGGAATTTTCAAACTGAATGCATTGGTCACTAGAACATGATGGGGTAAATGTCTCAGCAACACATGGCCAGCCTGGTTTTAGCTCAAAAACTCAACAGAGTAGGACCTGACTGGTATTTGAATGGGAAACCACTAGGGCAGAAATGTCAAACTCGCGACATCACGTGACGTTGTGCAATGTATCGGGACCATTGCCATTGCCAGCAATGGGGTGGGTGCGGCTTCCGGATGATGCGTCCGGTCCCCGGCTGGCAGTTTGACATCCCTGCACTAGGGACTTCCAGGATCCCAGGTTAGATAAGAAAAATTAAAAAAAAAAATCTCAGTAAGAAGCAGTGGTAAACCATTTTCTTACTGCCACCAAGATAATTATGTCAATAAGCCACTGAGAGTCATTGGAACAGAGTCACCAAGATTTTGACCTGAGAAAGCTGATATTGAGAGTATATTTGATATTGGAAAGAAAATGACTGAACTTGCTACCTCTGTATCTCCTGAAAACAGTGAAGGCTATCTATAAATCACATCTGTTCCTTTGTCTTAAATCTTTTGCTAGACACAAAAGAAGTTATAACATTGCAAATTAGGCATTTATTTGCCTTGTTACCAGGTCTGTGTTTTTGCTCTGTGTGTAAAGTGATTGCTACTAGTGTGGAAGTAACTGATGATAGATGTGACAACTAGTGTGGAACTAACTAATGATTCATGCAATAACTCTGTATTATTATAGAGATGATGTTCTCTTTTAGGAATGGAATATTCAGGAGATGTGGTGGAGACTGGAAAAGCTGTCACCAACATCAAAGAGGTAAAGAAGATTCTTTGGAGTAAGCCTTACAAGATCGTTTTGTTATGTAAATTTAGTACATTGCTGGCTTAGGGAAAAAGAATATGGAAATTCCTTTAGTAGTTGCTCACTAGACTACTGCATTTGTAATCTGTGAACTAGGACAGCAAGAGAATGAGAAGAGAATATGCATAAATACAGATGTCTTCTTTAAAAAATGCACAAATTGTAAAACAGACTCAGTATTTTCATTCTGAAAGTAATTAGGAAGAATATTGTTCATATATCACAAATGGATTTGAACTAATTTATTCATAGTGCAGATTTTCAGTGCTCTTTATTGTGTTAATTTTTCAGCAACAATAGTTTCCCAAATGTCACTGATCCAAAGAAAGATGAAAGTTAATCTTCCAGTGATTTTTATAGCAAACCTACCGGTAGCAATGAACTTTAGAAACCAAAGTATTATTGCATCAATGTATATGTCTTAAGAAAAATGAACAAGAAACCAACATTATTTATTGTATTTTTGGACAACTTCTAATAGGTTTTGAACAGAAATAGTTTTCTGAATTTGTTGCCAATTGCACAACAGTAACAATATATACCATTTTGCTTACCTTTCCATTAACTAATTCTAGAAAGGTAATAATATAATGCAGTTTTAGTCAAATACAGTGTCGCTTGTGAATTATCTTCATGTTCAGTTCTTTGATGATGAGCTGAAATAAATTTAAAAAGAATTCTTTACCACAGACAATTGCAGTGAGGCTCATCAAGTTCTAATCTCACACTTTCAATGTTTTGAAATATTCAAGAGATTCTGTCATTAGAATCTTATGTAACATTATTGAGATTTCCTTAAGTTGAAATTAAGTAAAATTCCTTATTCTTCAGATATTCCACACTATAGCTGTAATAAAAGCTTACAAATCTTGGTTAACTTTATCCATTTGGAGCCAACTGGGAAATTGTGACTAATCTTTCTACAAAATGTTTTCAAAAAATAACAAGATTTTTTTTAACAATCAACCTTGCCCAGAGCTTTTGGAGTATGGTGGTTTCCCTGCCTGGAAGATACCAAGATCTGTACCTAACTGCTTAGACTGATTGCATAGCATTCAGAACTGTTTCACTATTCCTGTTTATAGCTTGATTCATCCTAATGTACAATTTTGTACAATTGTACAATAATGTACAATTTTGTAAATACTCATACGTTAACTTAATGAAATGCTGATTAAAATGTTGATATTTTAAATATCTTGTTTAGATATGTTTTTAGCCCTTGGCAAAAGGGGGGAACATGTCAACTTTTCTCCTCCTTGTGGTTCTCTCCTGTTGGTTAAAGTGGTAGCATATTTATGTCACTTGATAACAGTGCCTTTTGACAGGGGGACTGTGTCATTGGTGTGACCAATGGAAAAGCTCTGGCGGAAGAATGCATTGCAGATTCAAAGGTATGAAAAAAATAATCCCCCAATACTTTTTTAATTCTTTGCAAAAGCCCCCCCAAAAATAAATATGTAAGAGGATAAATAAGATTACATGAATATTCATCACTCATATTTTACTCGGTAACATTTGTTTATATATTAGGAATATTAAGTTTAGCTCATTTTACCTAACTTTAAAAGAGGAAAGAATAATGGGAAGAGTAAATAAATGGATTAACAAAAGAAACCCAATTTATAAATATTCTTCTTGTCAAAACTTAAAGTGATAGGAAGCTTATCGAATAGGGGAAGAGATAAATTTTTGTGATCATAGAAAAATTAGAAGAAAATGAGTATTCTTCCTTCTTGTAAAATCAATCTTTTTACAGCTGTAAAATCACACAAAGTCCTATTGGTTAAAGTGGCAGCATATTTATGTCAATTGACTGTGGACCTTCGGGAAACATTACTTTGTAATTTGTACTACTTGTCATACTGTTAGTTAATTGGGGTTGTCACTGGTGTTCTGAAGTTCTTTATTGCAGAAGTTCAGAGAATAATAAGTTTGAAGGGCTTGTGATGCCTATGTTCAGGAATTCATTTTTTTTTCTTTTTTGAAAGTTGCTTTGGAAAATCCCCCAAGGAGTACCTTATGAAGAAGCTGCAGCACTGCCTGTTTCATATGGGACAGCCATCTTGGCCTTGAAACACAGAGCACAAACACAGCCAGGGTGAGTGGAAGCCCAACAATAGTACCACAAAGTCTTATTTGGTTAACAAAGTTCTGGGTTGTGTTGCAATTCTGTAATAATTGACGGTTATCTTTAGGCTTTCCCTGCCTGGAAGATACTAAGATCTGTGTCTAACAGATCATTAGACTTGATTGCATAGCATTCAGAATCGTTCCACTATTTCAGTATATAGCTTGATTTGTTCTAATGTACAATTTTGTAAATGTTGTAGATGAGTTTTTGCTTTATTTTTAATATGCTGGATATATTTGATGTGCATCGGATTTGAAGTAAGGCGTTTTTTTCCCTAACAAAATGGACTACTAAAAATTAGGAATCTGTAGGAGCAATTATCCAAAAAGTTGGCTGTTTCCTTAGTTGTATCACCTCTGCATGTTGCAAACGTGATTAAAATACCAACAAAATTGGATTGGTAAGAAAGAGTTTATTCTGCAGAAAATAGAAAAGCGGTTTGCAAAGCGCAGTGGATCCTGGTGAAAGACTTCAACAGGAAGTTCTAAACCCAGAGACCACACCAAAAATATTCAAACACATAACATTATATACACTCCTATCGCGACGCCCCCATCCCCTCCCCTTAGGTCCCATTTGAGAGGACTTCCGGGGGCACAATCTGTCCGATCCGCCTAGCCAGAATAGCCAGAATACATCGTCGTGTCCCCCCCCCCCGGTTACATTGTTTAGAACTTCCTTTTGTCTTGTTGAGTGTGTCTTCTACCCAAGCCTTCTGGAATCTAGTGCCTACCTGCAGGGCTTGGCTAATCTTTCTATTGTTAATCAATTGTGACCATTTTATTTTTAAACTTCTTCCTTTCTCACAGCATGAAGATGTTAGAAGATACATGTTGTACCCTTATAACTCTATATTTTGTCCATCCCTTCAGCCAGTAAGATAGTCATGGAACAAGGAAATATACAATTAAGACAGGCAGTAACTATTACTAGGTCAGTCTTGCCCAACCTTATGTCCTCAAGATAAATTAGAGATCTGTCTGACTTGCTCTCAAGTTTTCATTGCTTTTTTTTTCCTAAAAGAGCCTACAGATATTTGAAACTAAATCCCTAGAGCTTCTTGCCTCAACATGAAGTCCCACAAATAGTTTCTAGAAGATATGCCCTCATACCAGCAGCTATGTTTTCTCCTAAGTCTGGACTAAAGGCAGCCCAGCTTTAGTTGCTCTGTTCTGGAAATTTATTTTCTCTCTTATCCTGACTCAAGATCTCCTATTTGGATAACCCATGATGCATGGAAGAGGAGTCTGGAGGTGTTATGATCTGGGGTGGAGATATATTCATCCACAATTGATCTGGCCTCTTTGCCTCTGGTTCCCAGACTTGTTGAAGGTTTGGCTAAAAAAACAAACTTCTAGAGCTATTTTTTTAATTGATTGATTGGCAAAGAGAGTGCAAAGGCTTAAAAATGACTATCTCTATTTTAATGGAAGTAATTCAAATGACCAACCTGGTTCTCTTCTCCATAGTTGTAATTCTCAGGGAAGCACTGACTCTTTGTTTTCTTATGATAATTAACAGGAATGCTGATCTCAATAGAAAATTCTTTGCTCCCACCTAGTGGCTAATAGCAATAGCACTTAGACCAGTGATGGCAAACCTTTTAGAGACTGAGTGCCGAAACTGCAACCCAAAACCCACTTATTTATTGCCGGGTGCCGGATGGGCGTGGGTCACTGGGTGGGCGTGGCCGTGATAGCCATGGCGGACTGGGTTGGCGTGACTGGGGTAGGTGTGGCCCCCTCAATGATGCTTGTGGGGAGGGATGCCTGTGGGGATCGAGCAGGGGGAAATCCAGGAGGTCTCTGGCGGCTGGGGTGGTGGGCCAGAGGCTTGTCCTGTGAGGTGAGGCGAGGCAGGAAGTGGGTGCCAATTGCCGTGGGACAAGGCAAGGTAAGGCAGGGGCTGGGGCAGCTGCTGCCTGACACCATCGGCCCCTGCACACAGAGTCCAGCGAGTACATGGGGGCAGACATTGTCCATCAGCAGCCACAGCTTGCCAGCTGTCCTGCATCATGGCGAACTGGCCACAGAGCCCCATCGGTGCAGGTGGAAATGGCCCCGGAATGGCTGGAAGGAAGCCCTTGCCCGGCCTGGGCCCCATCCACTCAACGGCTCTGATGGGGGTGGCAGCTGCTGCTGCTCCAATCAGCCAACCATGCATAGAAGCAGGAGGAGGTGGGGGGTCAGCCGGTGTGCAAGGTCTGCTTCCTGGTCAGGCTGGGGGCTGGCCACCCCCCAGCCCCCTGCCCAGTGTTCCTTCTATGCAATCCTATGTGACCGCAGTGTGGATGAGAGGCTCAGCTGGTGGGGGGGATGGCTTTCCTCCATGGAGGCATCCCGGCCTTCCACCCCCCCTAGTCAGACCAGCTCACCTTCCCCTAGCCAGGACCTGATGACCCCCTACTCTCTTGCACCCATCCCAGTCTGTGACTCCTGCAGCCCCCCCCCACTGTATCCTTTTGTCCCCCAGGAGGGACGTCCAGCAATTCTGCAACCGGGAGGTCCTGCCCCCCCAGCCGACCCCCCCCAAGTAGCCCTGACTGACCAAGATGGAGGGAAGGCAAGGCAGAGAATTGGTTGTTAAATGATTTGAAACCCGCCAAAACCTGCTATTTTTATAGGTTTCCCTCCCCCTATCCAGCTCTCGCAGCTGTTCCTGGACTCCGTATGCATGGAGAGGGGGAGGCGAGCAGCCTGGCCCTGTGTCTGTCTGTTTGTGGCAATGGTGTGTGTGCCGACAGAAACAGCTCTGTATGCTGCCTGTGGCCATGCCATAGGTTCGCCACCACGGACTTAGACTTATATACCACTTCATAATGCTTTACTGCCCTTTCTGAGTAGTTTAGAGAGTCAGCCTATTGCCTCCAACAATCTGGGTCTTCATTTTACCAACCTCAGAAGGATGGAAGGCTGAGTCAACCTTGAGCTTGTGAGAATCAAACTGCTGGCAGTCAGCAAAATTAGCATGCAATACTGCATTCTAACCATTGTGCCACCACGGCTTATAGCTTAAATGGTCAAATGTCAATCCATATTAATTGATAAACTATTACAACTCCTGTATCTGTAAACTTTATCTGAGCAAAATAGTGCATCATGGGGAAGAAATTTGTCAACCAAGTACCTCAAATGGGCTAACTTATAGAATGCATCCAAAGTCTGTAACCCATGACGCCTGCGGAACTGAAATTTGGCAAATTTTACAAAACATTTTATGACATAAAATTATCATAAGCATTTTATGACATAATACAAATATCACAAAACATTTCCTGCAGTCCTGACATTTGACTGTGCTATGGATACAGATACCTCTCTGAATATCTCCATCAATTTTTTAAAGAACTTTTCAAATATATTAGAAACTCTACCATTGTTGAAGGCATTGAAGAATTTAGTAAGGAAATATCTCTGAAACAATGCTCCAAAGGGTCATGGATTGTCTACCAAGAATAAAAATGCTACAATGGGAAAGAAAAAAGCAAACAGTGCACCAAATAATTAGGAGCAATGTGCTTATCAGTTAGCAAAGGTTTTACACATAATGAAGGATATTGGATCGGGCTGGAATTCTAACTAAGGAGCTATCAACTATGTCCCTCAAAATGTATGCTAGTTAAAGCTATATGAAGAACAAAACAGCATAGATCTATTCCAGGTGTGTGCTAAGGTTGTGCTGTGGCAGAGTCCACGTTTAGGGCAGCATGACTCCTTGTCAGCTATGGGAGGACTGGAAGGGAGCATAGCAAAGCGGTTCTGGGTATGTGATCTCATCCTGATTTGATGGGTCTAGTTTTCTTCATAGTGAGCCTAATAATGCAGATGGACACTGCGGTGGAGTGAAGTGAGGAAGTCTGACAGATTTTTAATGTTTTAGATCAGGGATCTCCAAACTCGACAACTTTAAGCCTTGTGGACTTCAACTCCCAGAATTCCTCAGCCAGCCATGCTGGCCTGGGAATTTTTGGGAGTTGAAGTCAGGTCTTAAAGTTGCCAAGTTTGGAGATCTCTGTTTTAGATCATCAGGATTTAATACATCTCTCCAGTCTCAAACCATGCTTCTGTTTTTTGTAGAGAAACTGTTTTAGTGACTGCAGCTGCTGGTGCTACAGGGCTTGCAGTTGTGGATGTTGCAGCTAATGTTTTTAAAGCAAAGGTATGCCCTCTTTTACCAGTATTAGTATATATCTAAGCAATCTTCCAAATCAGACAAGAATGCTGAAAAATCCTGAAAACTCCTTTACCACTTCTGGTTGTCAAATAATTATTTCTGCTGTAAAATCAGGTAACAACTAGGTAAACACACAAAATTCTACTCATAAAATTACCTTTCTTCATCAGACTGCAGTGTTCAGAATTGCCATTCCTACAAGGTTTCCTTACCAAGAAGGGCCTTTCACAACAGAGAGCCTTGATGGATTAAAAGAAAAAAAGTTTTCAATTATTCCTCTCATAAGCAACTTGGGAGTCATGGCTTTGTCCTAAAGGTTGCTCTAAAACTGCGGAATGAAGGAAGAATAATGGACAGTTCTCTTCCCAATAAGCCTCCTTTGGAGACTATAGCATTAATTTTACTTGTGAAGAAAAAAAGATAAGAAAACAGAAAATGCAACCAGACCCATCATCTTAGATTCCATCCAAATGTAGAGCAGTTCCTTCTAACCTGCTGGGTGCTAAGTGTATTGGACATCAACTCTCACAGTTCTATGACAATGGTGTTTAGAAATTATAGCGGATATGTTGGACAGTTCAAAGCTGGGGAAAGCTCTGTTGGCTTTAACCACAAATGGAGAGGGCTGCTACAATGCAACCATTTCAGTTGGAAGAATGTACAGCTATCTTTTGGGATTGCAGGTGATAGCAGCAGCAGGAAGTGACAGTAAATGCCGGCTGGCTATCCAGAAAGGAGCTGTTGAGAGTGAATTACAGTGAGGCTAGTCTGAAAGAAGAGGTGAAGAAGCTGACAGCAAACAAGGGAGTTGATGTGGTTATCGACACCGTTGGTGGAGACATCTTCAAGCAGGCATTGCACAGGTGGGCTAAACCATGATCTATTTCTTCTGGATAGCGAAATATGACAAATTTTTGGTTTCACAAATGAAGGTGAATATGTGTCCCAGGATAGCACTGCAGGATCCGATCCTGAGGATGGGCTCCACCATGAGTCCAAAAACTCAGAAGACAAAACCTCTGGTCCCAGTGACCGACCCAGATTGGATCCTGCAACTTTTTGGTTTCTTAGAGCAAGGGCTATAGTGAGCAGAGTGAAGGTGTCGAGGGTTTTGTGCTTTTTCCTGAATTTGGTGTGGATTTTACAGCTCCTTTAGAACTGCACCAAGGCTGTTTGATATAAATATATCTCATAATTATTTGATATAAGGCTATTCTGACTTCATTGGACTAACCGTTTGCCACTTGAAAGTAGTTCAAATTAGGGCCATTCCCTGCTAGTGAATAATCATTACCTGCTTGGAAATAAACTTGAATTCCCAAAATCTGAGTCTTCAGTGAGTGGTTTCCAGTGCATGTGAGAATTGGTAGAAAAATATCTTTTTAAAGTACCTCAGAAGAAATTAGAGGGGAAGAATTGATTATAACTTCTCTTAGTAATAGAAAAGCCCCCTGCATATTTAATCACTTTTGTCTTCTGTAAATGTATCTGATTTTTATGAGGAGGGACACATTTTCTTGATCATGCAGGATATCTAAAAATGTCTGATAAACTTAGAATATCTCCAGTTTCCTGATCACAATATTCTATTCTTAGAAATCTTTTCCTTATTGTATCCAAAATAATTACGGTAGATGGACAACCCGTGACCTATTGCTGAATTTGGGAGTTGTAGTTGAGCAACATTTATAAAGCCAGTAGTTCTACATTCCTGTGTTACAGTTGGTCCTCAATTTATAATCATTCATTTAACAGCAATTCAAAGTTACAATGGTGTTGAAAAAAGTGACTCATGACCCATCTTCAAAATTATGACCATCATACTACCCCCATGGTAATGTGATTGCAATTAAGATGTTTGGCAACCAGCTCATATTTATGATAATTTCAGTGACTTGCTTTCATGTGATCATAATATTAACCTTCCCAGCCGACTTCTAATAAACAAAGTTAATGGGAGAAGCAAGATCCACTTAACAACCATGTGATTCACTTAATGACCACAAGATTTGGCCAGAGACCATGATAAAAAGGTTCAAAAAATCAAATCCAGTCATGCAATGACTTGCTTAACAACTGCATCACTTAGCAACTGAATTTCTGATCCCAATTTTGGTCATAAGTTGAGGACTACTTGTAAACTGCTTTAAACCCTTTGTTTCTGAAACCATTTAGCACAGCCCTCCCCAATCTGTGTAAAATGTCCTAGGGACTGTACATCTGCTATTTCTCTTTAGAAATAGCTCTTTTGCTTTAATTGATGACTTGATTTCCATCCATTCAGAATACATTTTGACCCACTTAAAATGTTATGGAGCTGCTATATTAACTATTTGATCCAAGTACTAATCTCTGAGTCTCTCTCTGCTTCATCTTTGCAGTCTGGCTTTTGAAGGCAGAATTGTGGTGGTTGGTTTTGCTGGAGGAACGATACCTTCCATTCCAGCCAACATACTGCTTCTGAAAAACATCTCTGCTCTGGGAATATTTTGGGGCCGGTACCGGGATAAAAAGTTCCCAGTCTTCTCCTCAACCATTTCTTCAGCTCTTTCTTATTATCAAGAGGATCAAATCCAGCCTCAGATAGGAAAAGTGTTCAAACTAGAGGAGGTAAGGAGAAGAAGCTTGACTTTAACAGTTTTGAGGCTTTTGCAGAACTTCTTGGATTGTCCAATGGACAATCTTTATAATGATGAAAGAAATGCTCTAATGAAGTTCGGTGAATATACTGTATGTCTATATGTCCTACTGCTATTTTCCAGGATAATATTGCTAATCCTTTATTTTTTGAGAAAAGTATAGCTCAGATTTATCACAGCTGCTTTCTGTATAGGACTGGAGTATAAATTGGTTTTCTGAATAAAAACCCATCCATAAATTTCAGTGTTGCGGGTTACTGAAATCCAGTAATTTTGTCAGTGTAGTGGGTGGCAAAAAGCAACCATTACCACATTGTTTGTTGAAGATAAAGCTTTGGTATGGAGTAAATAGGTTTTTCCCATAGGAGATGTAGAGCAGATGGGCTAATATTGATCACTGGCAAAGACATGAAATGCAAGTATTTCCAGTGTTGCATTTCCATTTTAGATTCAGGAAGGGAAGGCATGAGTATAAATCCTTGCTCACCATGAAATTTAGGGGGTTAACCTATTATCTCTCAATTCTCAACTCTCCTTCATATGAATATTAAGATGAAGTTGGTGCCTAGGATATATGTTATGCCATACTCTTGAGGAAGAACAGGTAAAACTTAAAATAATATTGAAATGAGGTTTCTCTTTAAGAGGAATATGTCCAAAGCTTAGGATGTAGTTGAAAATAATGGTGGAACCTTTCAGTTCATCCAATCTATTTATCACTTAATTGTTTCTAATTAAGACTCCAGTTGCTTTTCATATCTCATTAAATACATGCAAATTTAACTCCCACAATTAACTTGGGAAACGCTTTAATGTTGGCCATTGTCTTTAATTATGGAAATCATTTTTTAAAAATAGTATCTTTAATTGGATTTTATCTAGGTTCTTATATTCAGTTTCAGGGGGAATGGAAATTATTTCTGACCTTGCATAAGTATGGTTTTCTGTAAAATTTTCCAATCCACCAAATCAGGTTTCTGCTTTTACCTAGTTTTATGCCACTGGAGATAAAGCAAAACAATCTATGCCTGCAACTTTCAAGGAATATAATTGGTGCCATAAAATGTACCCATAGGATCATTTTTCACAGTCCAGCATCCTGTGAGCTTGTTTGAGTGTTTACTGCACAGTGAATATACGAGCGACACTAAATAGATTTACACCTCCACCTTTGTAACATGTTTAGTGACCCTTTCTTTGAATTGCTATTCAGGTAAATGAAGCCTTTGCACATGTGACTCAACGTAAATCTACAGGAAAGATTGTCATCTCAACTAATTAAGCCTCTTTTTCTTGGGAAAATGTATTGTCAGTACTACTTCCTGCTGAAGAGAGAAGCTGTTGATACTGACTTCAAATCACTCAGCCTGCGACAGGCCTTTTTGGATTACAGAAGAAACTTTCTAGTCAAACGCACTCATTGATTTTCTATCACTTCTTTAGCAGATCTAGGTCATTTAGGCACTTCCCCTTGGCAATGCCCGCTTTGCTGCCCACCACTCAGTTGGCTGGTGGCTATTTGTCTTATGCAGCAAAACGCCCGGATCAAACCCTGTCTTGGGAAATGGGCAGGGATGAAGGGTTGAGGATGGACAGTCGCTGGCAGTGAGCCAGCAGAGGAGGAAAGCTAGCTGTGGTTCAACGGTGGCGGTTCACTGGGAGCGAAGAGGGCGTGGCCAAGGGTCGGTGCCTAAATGTCCCATTTTTTCTGTAACTTCTATCAGAATCCAGAGTTGGTATTGGTCAATCTTTGCCTGTTCTTATTCCAGCTTTTCTGCTGTCAAAGATTCTAGATATTATGTAGATACCTTAGTATACTTTGGCCTAGGGCAGGGGTAGGCAACCCAAAACACTCAAAGAGCCACTTGGACCCATTTCCCACCAAAAACAAAACACCGGGAGCCACAAAACCCTTTAAATATCTAAAATGAAGATAACACTGCATATATCCTTTTTTACCTTTATTATAGGTGTGTGTGTGTGTGTGTGTATATATTTTACCTTGAATGTGCACCCTGTCAGCCCAAATATGGGAGAAAGAAATCTTCTTTCTTTTTCTTTTCTTTTGCCTGTATCAGCTCAATCTAGAGTCATCCACAAGCAGCAGTCGCCAACTGCGACATCATTTTACATTTTTAGGTTGCTAACAAAGAATAAAGAGAGAACTGGTATAGCTATTTCGAGTTCCATTAACTCTCTTCAGCCAGACTTACTCTTCTGAGATTCGAACCTGGGCTTATCTGCATGTTAGGCAGTTGTTATAACCTCTAAGCCACAGGTTCTTTCCCACTCTGTTAGCTATCAGGAGAGAGACAGGGGGAGGAGATTTTTACCTTGAATGTGCACCCTGTCAGCCCAAATATGGGAGAAAGAAATCTTCTTTCTTTTTCTTTTCTTTTGCCTGTATCAGCTCAATCTAAAAATCTCGAAAGCTTGATTTTATTTATTAAAACCTTGGTGTTTTATTTCCTGGTGATCGCTTCCTTTTTTACTGTAATGTATGTACCCAGGAATCGCTATTCCTCAATTTTTAATATATATATACATACACACCCACCCACACACACACACACACACACACACACAAAGGATATATGCAGTGTTATCTTCATTTTAGATGTCAAAAGGGTCTCTGTCTCTCTCTCCCTCCCTCCCTCTCTCTATCTGCCCTTGGTCTGCCAGTCCTCTTCCCTCACTCTCTTTCTCTCTCTTTCCTCTCTCTCTCTCTCCCTCCCCCCTCTCTCTTTCTCTCTCTCTTTCTCTCCCCCCTCTCTCCTATCTGCTGCTCACCTGGCAAGCTGGCTTCAAGGGGTAGGCAACCTTGGCTCTTTTATGACTCATGGACTTCAACTCCCAGAATTCCTGAGTCAGCATAGCTGGGCTAGCTAGCTCTCTCCTGCCCTTCCTGCTTCCTGCAAAGACGCAGCAAAGGGTGGAGCTCCACCCAATAAGCTTTTCAGCTCCTTGGAGAACACTGTGAGTGCACTCTCTTTTACACACACACACACACACACAGAGAGAGAGAGAGAGAGACAGAGAAGCAGGGAAGCACAATTGCCTCTCTCTGTCTCTGTCTCTCTCTGTAAATGGCAGAGGAGGCTGGGAGCCACAGGGGAAGGCTCAAAGAGCCACATGCGACTCTGGAGCCGCAGGTTGCCGACCTGTGGTCTAGAGCAATGTTCTGTCCTGAACCTTCCAAACTGAGACACAGGAGCTAATTCTACTATTTGTGCTTTGGAGATTGTGTGCATGATACTAAAATAAAATTTAGGAATAATGGTGTAGAACTGGTTTTTATTGTTCTGTACAGTATCTGGGGGATTTCTTTTGAAATTGAAGAGAGATAGCAGACCGGAGGGGAATAGGAATATTGGGAAAATTATTGTTATCTTGAGGAAAGTCAAAATTATAAGCACATTAATGCAAGTTGATAATTAAACTCCTACAGATATGAATGATGTGTGGCAATCTTGTGAGTCCAGTTATCTAAGAGCTTAAGTAGTCTAAGTATACTTAAAGAATGGGGGGGGGGAACAGCTTGACTTTTTTTAAACTTTGCCATCACATTGTGTAGAAGTGCAGGAAGAAGGGATGTTTGGTTTATACATTTCTTTCTTCCCCCATGTCTAATAATTTTAATAACACTTTGGTTTTGTATGATTAATGATATTAACAGTAAATTACATCGTCTATTTCTGCTCACAGACAGTCCAAAACCCAGCCTACTAGCTCCTTTTCAGATGTTGTTTCCATATAGCAATTCCATTTTTGAGTTGGTAACTAGGGAGTGCAGGTACCCAGTCTTTGGTTGTTGATTCCTCCTCCTGATTGTGGGGAGACCATAGACAAGGTCTATTGTAAGTTCTCTATATTGCCCTTCACTCCGATTCAGCAATTTAATGCTAAATATGAATGGGTCAGATAAGAAATCAGAAACCCCATAACCGAGGGCTAAATTAGACACAACCCCCAATTCTCTGTGTTACTTTCTTCCCTTTTTTTAAATCTAAAGAGTCTCAGCAGTTGCCTATCTTAATAAAAAGAATTCCATTGGGTTAGCAAAACCTGGCTAAATATGGTAGTTTATTACACCCTGACAGGAATAATGCAATTTTAAGAAATAGGATGGCTCGGTTATGCATTTTCTTAAATGGGCCTGCATCATCTTTCTTTCAAAAGTGGTGTTTACAAATTAGCTTTCTGTCTTCTTTCTGTTGTCTGGATTTCTGACAAGCGGACTGGGTTCATGCAATGTGGTAAATTATAATATACTTCGAAATAGAGGTTGATATAATTTCCTGTTGGCCCAAAGATTGGCAAATGCAGTTAAAATCAACCATAGGGAAAGGCCCATAGGGCAGAAGCAAATTACATTGTTTCAGAATGCCTTCTCAGAGTTTGAACAGATTACTTTTTTATTTTAAATTATATTTAAATTACACATTTTAGAGGGTGAAAAAACTATATGATCTGAAGAAAGATCAGAACATTCATCATTTCTCTGGGGGGGATATTTGTGTGTGTGTGTATTGGGGGAGGGGTGTTCTCCCTAAATCTTTGTTAGAACAAATCCTAAAAAATTAATGGGCAAGTTCATATCTATTTAAGAGAAAATAATTGGATATCTTTAACTGGGCAAATAGAGCTGCTAAGAGAAAAGAGGAACCCAACTATGCTTTAGGATCTGGTGTGCACATTAAGTCACATTTTACACAATAACACCTCTTTTTATTTCTTGAATTTTAGAACTACACAAATGTGTAATTAGAATATCATAGGATGGAACAAAATTCCTTCACTGATTTTATTTGCTAAATCCTGATAAACAGTGTTATCATTTATGGTTTCTTTATCAATTCTGGTTCACGCAACAAAATAGCTGGGTTTTATTGTAAAACATTGAATCAGAAACCATCCAATCCCACTTTAGCCTAGTCTAGTATGCTGTTTGAACACAGTTTATTTTTATGTCTAGTTGCGCTCTTTCAACAACTATGGGTAAAACTCTTAGAAAGTCATACACTCTAAATCAGTGGTTCTCAACCTTTTTAATGCCGCGACCCCCAACTGGTCGTAAGTCGAGGACTACTCAACTGGTGCAGCACCATTTGCAGAATGGGACTTTTGGTGGGCTCAGCAGGGCATAGAAAGCCTGGACAATTCCTATTGGCTTTTGAAAGCCAATAGAATTAGACTCTATTAAGAGAGTCTATTCTATTGGCTTTCAAAAGCCAATAGAATAAGAGGGAGTAGCACAGCTAAGGAAAAGGGGGAAAAATGGCGGACTGCGTTGTTTGGCGACCCCCGTGAAATGGTCGTTCGACCCCAAATGGGGTCCCGACTCACAGGTTGAGAACCACTGCTCTAAATACTTCTGTCCCCCATCCAGTTACATGAATTCTGATCTTTTCTGATCTTTTCAGATGACCGATTCCTGTAAATCCACAATTTCCAAAGTATGATATTAATATTTTTCAAAAGCTGTGTTTGGTATTATTAATCAAATACGATAACATTCATTGTTTTTGCTTATCTGACACATGTTTAAATTACTCTCCCCTAATTCTTTGCCATGCCTCTCAGGCTTAGACACTCTGTTTTGGAAGCAAGTTAGGTGGACTTAAGAGCCCAAGTTAAGAAGACTTAAGAGCCTTCAGAAACTTTTTCAGCAGATTTTTAATAGTGATATAGTAGCTAAGAGTTGTGATTTAGGAATATATCAGTCCAAAATGAAGTTATAATATGTATCAATATACTTTTTCTAGTAAACTATACAATATAGCAATAGCACTTAGACTTATATACCATTTCACAGTGCTTTACAGCCCTCTCTAAAGCAGTGGTTCTCAACCTGTGGGTCGGGACCCCATTTGGGGTCGAACGACCATTTCATGAGGGTCGCCAAACAACGCAGTCCGCCATTTTTTTCCCCTTTTCCTTAGCTGTGCTACTCCCTTTTATTCTATTGGCTTTTGAAAGCCAATAGAATAGACTCTCTTGAATAGAGTCTAATTCTATTGGCTTTCAAAAGCCAATAGGAATTGTCCAGGCTGTCTCTGCCCTACTGAGCCTGCCAAAAGTCCCATTCTGCAAATGGTGCTGCACCAGTTGAGTAGTCCTCGACTTACAACCAGTTGGGAGTCGCGACATTAAAAAGGTTGAGAACCACTGCTCTAAAGGGTTTACAGAGTCAGCATATTGCTCCCAATAATGTGGATCTTCATTTTACCTACCTCAGAAGGATGGAAGGCTGAGTCAATCTTGGTTGTAAAATTTTGTGGTAATGTATGTGGAGGTATGGTGATAGTGAGGATAGTGATGATGATTTATATATTATCTCTGCTTTAGAATATCCCAGTGTGGTAAATTGGGCTGAGTCATCAGTGTATTTTTATGTTTAATTGTGGATTCGATCGTGTTTCTCCCCATCCCTAGTTAACCACTTTATAATAAGTACCACTTTATAATCCTTTCAAAAGACCATACTTGGAATATTGTATCCAGTTTTGGTCGCCATGATGTAAAAAAGATGTTGAGATTCCAGAAAGAGTGCAGAGAAGAGCAACAAAGATGATTAGGGGACAAAGACTAAAACATATGAAGAACAGTTGCAGAAATTGAGTATGTCTAGTTTAATGAAAAGAAGGAGT